GGGGGGGGAGGGGAGCAGGGGATAAAGAAAGAACTCCACGCAGAGTGAATCACAGATCTAAGGAACTAAACTCAGAAGTGCTCCGATCAAGGGTTAACACTGTAACAGCCAGCCTTTTGAATTAATTCATGTCATAAATTATGGGTGAAGTCAAGAAATTCACCCAGCACACGCAGATCAGTTGTGATTGTTCATATCAGTCATTTGTACATATGAACTTGCATAATGGATATGGCTTGATTAGAGAACCGGGAGGCAGAGAGAGAAACAAATGGCGTCCTAAGCAGAACCTCTGGCTTCGTAAAAGAATGGGTCGGTTAGCAGTTCTCGTAAGGTTTCACATGAATTACAAACAACAGAAACAATGCCCTTCGGCCCAAAACAGGCAAAGGAACGACAAACTTACGAGAGCTGCTACCCTTCTGCAAAGAATCATTTCGCTAAACAGTGCACAAAAATCCTCTTACGCCACATTACTTTAAAGCGAATACCCACGCACGCACGCAAGCACACGCTGGTACACGCGTGTTTGCTCGAACTGACTCACCTGGGCCAAAGATACAGTTGACTCCGGAGTCATAAAGGAACTGGTAGTCTTGAGGGGGAATAACACCACCACACACGACGACAATATCACTGTGAATAAAACCGAAACAAAAGCAGTCAATACTGAACTCGCGGGCATGACTTTATTTCTGGATCCTGATAGGCCCTTTTTATTCCACGTGACGTACAGAGATTACAAGGTGACCAGAACCATGTGTTGTAATCTACAATACGACGAGATCTTAACAACCGTAGATTTTTACGAATCTTTTTCTCCATTTCCTCCTGTTTTACGAAATTTCGAAAACACCACGAAATTCGCCAAAATTACTCCGTGACACGTCGTAATTTCAACTCTCTTCGCAGGGTTTGGAAATGTGGTCAAACACGGTCTCTCGTATTTGATTTACTACTTGTATTATGAGCTGCAGCCAACCAGTCTTCTTTGCTGCCTACTATTTATAATAATACCGTAGAAAGCACTGCGACCTGACTTTCGTAAGCCTCGACGGGTCCACGTAACCAGGCCAAAGGAAAAAAAAAACACTAATAGACGCCTGGTTCCACATGTTTCAGCTATTCATTGAGCGCACGCAGTTCAGACCATCTACCAAGACATTATCAAAACTTTCCCACAACAACAACAAAGAAGGTCGGTAT